CGGTACGGGCACGACACTGAGGGTTGCGATCCCATTATTGGTGACGAAAAAAGACAAAAAGGAAAAAAAAGATGGAAAAAAAATAGGTTTCACCTATAAATATAATCACTAAGAAGAAAAAAAAAGGCAAACATATCTAAAGTAAAACGACTCTGAATAATTAAAGCTTAAAGGCCCTAGAATGATCATTTTCCTATATAGAAACAGATTAGTTTATTAAATACTTTCCTTGTCTCATCTTTAAAAAAGAAAACCCCACATTCCACAGTTACCAGGTCAGGTATGCAATTCCAAACACGGCTCCTGCAGCCCAAAGACCCCGCCGTTTGTGCATACAGTTGACACAGAGGGTGGTACGACTAATTTACAACACTTTACAGCTCAAGTAGAAATTACGTAAATCTTCAATTAAACTAAATAATAGAAAAAGCTTGAGAAAAAGATAATTTCATAAACAAAACATTCCATTTTTTAAAACTTCTATTACTGAACATCTCAAATGTATGGAAGTAGAGAGAATAAGTGAGAAACCTTTCACCAACATTCAACCCTGATCAACACTTGGCTATCCCTATATTCTATGTTTTCGTAGAATAAAAACATAATTTTACGTGACAGGATGAGATTACAACATTCACTGAAAGGTGGTAGGCTACGCACAGTATTATTAGGACTGTGTTATTTTTGTTTCATACTGGTGACTAAAAGTTTAAAGCTTGTTTTCAAAAAATGGTTGATATCTTTGCATGTAGTTCATGGAAAAGTGAACAACTTTCTATCAAAACAATAACAACAGTCATATTGGTATCTAATGCTTTCTGTGTCACACAAACTGGTGGAAGCCATCCCTCTTTATCCCTGTAGTAACATTATTAAGTAGGTACTAATATTTTTCTCATTTTATCCACGAGGGAACTGAGGCATAGAGAGGTACACCCTGGGTATACCCAAGCTACCTGGGCCAGGGCTGGGACTTGAACCCTTGTATAATTCTGTTTATCACTATGCCAATACACAGCAATGAGAGATTGCGTGCTGGTGAGAGTATTATTTCTTGTCCAAAATACACACCTTTACCAGTTCCATGACAAGATACAGTTCAGTTGGTACATCCATCTCCTCAATCAGAAGAACGATATTGGGGTGCTTCACTCTTCTTAAAATAGACACCTCATTCTGGATCATGTGCTCCTGTCCAAGGGAAAAGTTATTTAAGCAATATGCACAAAACTTGTGAAGAGTTGACTCAAAGAAGCACAACTATACTATGTGGGGATCAAGGGAGATGCATTTTGGTAACATATAATGATTATGTCTTATATTCGGATATTCAGATAGCCTAGAATTGCCAAAAGATGTTGAGGATCCTTAGATAATGCTTGCAAATTCAGAACCTCTCACAATAGTTACAATTTCACAGAGAAGGGAGGAATGAAACTCAGATCGCAAAAGAAAGGGAAGAAACAAGCGAACTGATAAAGACAAGGAACAGAAATAACAGCCAATCATTCCAACTGACTTTTATTCCTAGGATATTTTAAAACTTATATTCTAATAAGCCTATAACATTCTACTCCACCAAAACGCAGCTCTTAGGAGGCACTTATGTTTATTTGGGAGCTGATCTTTATGTCTCTTTCTACCCTCCTGAACACTGTATTTCTTAAGAATAAACTTTATACATACTTTGCCTCGACATTTGCTTTTCTTGATAATTTTCAGAGCATACTCTCTAGCAGTCGACCTGCAAAGAGAAAGTTTTAAAAAAAATAAAACTTGATTTCAGATCTATTGAATCACTTCATTAGGGATTAATTTCTTACCCTACGGATTGTACATTGTGGTGTAAACATTTTGTGAAGACTCTCGCTTCTTAACAAAGAACTGTGTAAACATCTATGAGTTGACGAAGTGTAAGGATAACAAATCCGCTCACACAGGAGAATCGTGGGCTGTTCGCTGCCACATTTGTGATGGGAGCCCTGCGACGCTCCTGCCATGCTCAGCAACTCCAGCGAGGCTGCTCTCTGCTTCTCTCTGAGGCGATGCGGTGGGGCATGGGGAGGATGAAGGTTTCTGCCCTTCTTCTTGCCTCCAGTCTCCCTTGAGGTTCTCCAGCCACCAGGCACGGCTATGGCAGTTTTCTGGATGGTCACACTGAAGACTCTCAGGAAGCAGATCACACTCTTTAGACCTTGGTTCACTGTGAGAGCCTGCATGAGTTCTCCTGGAGAACCCACCAATAACATGTTCAAGATGTACAGAAAGCGGGCCGGCCCGGTGGTGCACTGCTACAGTGCGCCGCTTGGGAGTGTGGCGGCGCTCCCGCCGAGGGTTCGGATCCCACATACAGACCGGCCGCTCACTGGCTGAGCGAGGTGCGGGCGCAACACCGAGGGTTGCGATCCCGTTGCAACACTGAGGGTTGCGATCCATTGCCGGTCACGAAAAAAGACAAAAAGGAAAAAAAAAAAAGATGTACAGAAAGGGATAAAACCATTTTCAGAGCTTCCTGTGAGCCTTCTGGGGATGTCTCATTTCACAGAAAGAAAACGGAGGTAACAATAAAACCAACCCTCTTTCCCACAGCCACATGGCACACGTACAGTCAGGCTCTCCATTCCTGGGGTCCCCGCCTCCCACAGAGCCCAGTCCACACCGCCCCTCCTCCATGATGGGTGTAGGAGGGAGGATTTAGTCACATTGCTCCTTTAAATAGTTTCCTAACTTGTGTTAACATTTCTAAAATACTGTAGTGCCACACATAAAGACATGTCTATTGTCGAAGGACACAACGCACACTTGATAACTGTAACAAACCACCACTTGACAAGCGCTGCCATTTCATTTCTGGTGTGAAACCAAGAAATTCTAGCTTTATACCTACAGATAAAAGCCCGGCTTTATGGATCTAAACGGTTACAATGAGACTGAAGTTGATTAAGAACAAAATTTTAAAATAGGGCTTTAAAATCTTCAATATGGTGAATTAAATAGATACCTACAGATAAAAGCCCGGCTTTATGGATCTAAACGGTTACAATGAGACTGAGGTTGATTAAGAACAAAATTTTAAAATAGGGCTTTAAAATCTTCAATATGGTGAATTAAATAGGATTTCCTAGTTATATGCTTAGAGCAAGAAAGTGATTTTCCTATAAGCAAATTAAGAGGTCAGGTATTAAAAACATGTTTTGAGGGCATTTTAGAAACTATTTAAGTCATTTACTTCTAAGAATGCTTCTCCCATTACACTTCCAGACCGCTGTATAATGCCAGCCTGCAAAAAACACTCAATAAACACTGAATTGTTATGTTTATATCTGGTGAATAAAACCAGAATAAGATAATCACTTTGAAGCCCCTTTTCTCCTCTAGAGAGTTCTGGGATTCAGATGGGAGAAGATAAAACCCTTGGCTTCAGGGCAGCCCTCCTGCAGAGATGTGGGTGTCCAGAGGAATCCAAGGACACCTCGCCCACTCTGCCTCTGTTGATCCTTCAACAAAGAATTTGCCATGGCTGGGCAGAGAGGCCATGAGGGAGGAAGGTGTGAGCCAGGCCTTGGCTGAACGCAAGCTTTGGGGTGATGTCTCCACATAAAAATCACACCATCAGTAAGGCAGTGGGGTAGAGGTGGAGAAAAACCTCTCACCTTCCCTGGGCTGCAGGCTCGGGACACAACCTGCTCATCGGCCTCCTGGACGCCAGTGCACCTGCTCACTCACTATGTCTATGTGGCTGGAGAGGAAGGACCACAGGGTCCTTTTAAGTAGACTCTTCTTAAGAGGCTTCCGAAGAGTTTATTTGCAAACTTGAAAAACACAGGGAAAACGAAAAGCTAAAGTGTTTCTGGATTCTGCCTCTCATAAATAACTAAAAAGTTATGATAAAGAAAATCTGAGATTAGAATGCATGAGCAATTTCCTATCTGGTGTAAGATGTTTCGTTCGATGGCAGGAAAATCTAGATGATGGCACTGACTGCTTTGATCATGGTGGGCAGGCAGGGCCAGAAAGGAGGATGGGGCTTTGCGAGGCTCTGAAACAAGAGCCGGGGTTCCTTCACCACCTCCCCACAGCGGCCGGATGGACAGGACCCTGCTGGTAAGAGGGAGGGATTTTGTAGCTTTGTGATTCCCCGTGTCTGCCGTTCGGTCCTCCTTTCCCTTGAATGGTTAACATTAAAGCACTCAAATCAAACGGCTGGTGTGGGACCTGGGAGGGCTGAATCCTCCTGTCCAGCAGCACAGACAAGGAGCAGGTCCCCAGCGAGTGAGTGGGTGTTGGTGCCCGGGAGGCTGACAAGCAGGTTGTGTCCTGAGCCTGTGGTCCAGGGAAGGTGAGAGCAAGCTTGGCGGGGGTGGCCCCAGGGCTTACTAGGAAGAAGGACCTTGTGGTTTCCAACACAGAACCTTTCATAACAGGACTAAACACTCCATTAAACTTGCCCATATTTTATATGGGACCATGAGCCCTGCAGAGGACGGCCAAAATTAACATTGCAACTGTTCTTCCTTGATTCCTTGAGGCAGAACTATAAATCACATAATAAAATCCTTAATTACTAGAAGCACAGGATTATAGGAAGGTAGCTAGTGTGGATGCGCCAAAATTAATATTGCAACTGTTCTTCCTTGATTCCTTGAGGCAGAACTATAAACCACATAATAAAATCCTTAATTACTAGAAGCACAGGATTATAGGAAGGTAGCTAGTGTGGATGATGAGCCTGAAAACCGGTGTTAGGACTACACATAGACCGTAAGAATAAAAATGTAAGTGCTCGCTCTAAGTGAAAACACTTGGCAAGAGAAAAAAGCCTTAGATAATTATTCGCCTTCCTATATCCCCCGAACTCCGAGCGCCACTGAGCCGGTGGGACTGCTGAGCAAGCAATTCCAAGCACAGTTCTTTGCTGGGTTCTGAGTTGGACAAGGTCTGGTGGACTCAGTAGAACACTAGACGACTAGACTACTGGTGAAAATACAGGCCATTTGCTTCTTTGTTCCCGAAGTTATATTCTTGACCTTTTATGGAACGCTCTGCCACAACAAAGGCAGCAGCAACAGAAAACATTGTCTTCCCCCTTGTCTATGAGAAATCAATTTGTATAGTCACCTGAAGTCTCAGCTTGTTCTGGTGGCCTCAAGCCTGCTTAATTTATTGCTAGAGCTAGCGGTTTTGTTGTGCAAGGCTTATAGGTGGGCCGGTGGGAGAGGGAAGTATCCCACCTAGAATTTTAATACAGCTCCAGTGCCTACACCACTAAAAGATGCAAGCTGTGCAGGTGGGGAGGGGTGCCAAGAGCCACCTGGACACCATCGCTGCTCATGACCGCATCACTGTGCCCTTGGCCTGTGTATTAATTAGTCCACATAGAGCCAGGAGAATTAGAAATGAAGGGCACCTCGTATCAAGCCCTCTACTCATGCTCTGACCTTTCGTTAGTGCTTCTCAGCTCTTTGAGTTTGCTTTGGAGCCTCAAAGTGCTCCACATAACAGCTTCAAAACAAAGCATGTCTCTCCCAGCTGAAGGCACAGTCTACTAACTTCCTTCAGCATGTCCTAGGGGCCCCTGAGGCCACTCAAGAAATGGCTCCTGGGGCATAGACAGAAATCTAAATGAACCTAGCAGCCACTACCAAAGGATATGCTGGGCCAAGGAAAGAACGGTCTGCGTGACACTTATTGTGTCCATTGCAGACGAATCCTGCCTGTGACAGCATATTATTAACAAAGGAGGAACATACTTGCCCTTGTTAATACATATTCATACTTGAAAACATGGCAGAATGTACATGGGAGCAACGTGTGTATTCCAAAACATTCTTAACTTGCTTTTATTTTCTTGGACCTCTGGAAAATATTAAAAGAATGTTCCATGATACCTCTGGGGAGAGAGGGCACACGCCATATGTCTCATTCAGCAGGAGCTAAGTACTGACACTTTGGGGAGAAATCTGGTGTTTAGACTCTGAAGTTTCATACAGCGAGACTGAAGATGTGAACTCATGCAAAATGAACACAATCCAAGTTAGAAAGAAAGAAATTAATTCTGGATAGAAAAACAAGAAATTTCTAAGAAGACCAATCCTGTTGGACTAAGTTGCCATCCTGATCCGTGGACGAGCAGGAGAAGAAGCAGATGGCACTGTGTCAGATCTAACAGGTGATGACCCTGGCAGGTAACCAGGTAACCCACAGTGCAAAGGCATCTGCTAAAAATGGGATTTTCTGCTACCATGGAAATAAAATTAAGAAGGGTTGGACTAACTACCAGAAAAACTGTTAAGGAAACATAAAATTCTGTAAACACACATGCACATGTATACACACCTCCATCAACCACCTTAGGAATGTTTTTCCCGATTTAATTTCTGTCCTATTTATTCAAAGCCAAATGCAATGCGTGTAATTTTGACTGAGCTAAGCCAGAGTCTTGCCTTATGGGAGGCAGTGGAGCAGAGTGGTTAAAAGTGCGGGGTTTGGAGCTGGGCTTCAATCTATGCTTTGCTTAAGTACTAATGAGGTTGGGCATTTAACTTCTTCAGGATTTCTTTCTATAAAATGGAGACAACAATACTGACATTATGGGATTATTATGATAATTAAATGAAATATTGTAAATTAAGTTTATGCTCAGTAACCATGGTTGCTCCTGTTTTGGGAGGTGTGAGGCCCAGAAAAATAATTTTCCATGCTTGGCAGTAATGCGATACATGGTCAAGCTCTATGGTGGGGGTGGGAGAATGGGGAGGAGACGGGGAAAGCGGTCTGGAAACATCAACTAAGGGATTTTCCAAGCTACCCATTACTCATGCCCCTCCCCGACACAGAGTGGCTTCTAGAGTGGCTCTCCATCACTGCTGGGAATATCCTATTCTAGCTGGCATGTCAGGGAAGAGCAAAGTTTGAGATGCACTGCACAAGGGTAGCTCAATGAGGGCTGTTACTGTAGTTGGGGAAGCATTTTCCAAAGAATGGCAAGGGACACACGAGGCACACAAATGGATATCAGCCGAACGGAAACCTTCATGATATTTGAGACCCTGTATGGACTTCCAGCTCTAACATTTGTGTCCAGCATGGGCCTGAACTAGCAGGTGCACCACATATTTGGTCGAGTCACGGAAACTCCAGAGGACGGTGGCAGTGCAGTGACAGGAAGACCATCTCCCAACAAAGAGGATACAGCAAACAGCATCCTTTGTTTACAACGTAGTCATAATATAGCCCCATGTCAGCCTCCTCCATAAGAAGCCAATCACCAAGAGCAGAGAACTGAGGCCTCCTAGAGTGTGTTGTCAAACATCCCTAGAGTGTCACTTTATTTTGAATTTGAGCAAGGGCCCCATGACTATCAGATGCCAGAGAATCCTTAGGAAGAAAGAATGAACAACCATCAGTTGGCCAAGAGATGTCTGAGTTTCTTCACCCTGACTTATCCTGCAAAAGCTGAGTTCTGAAGGAAATGTCTTCAAACTATAAGAATGTGGTTCTTGAGATACTTGAGAATTCTGAAGATCAGAGTAGAAGCAACCCATTTTGGGTGACATTTGTGATTCCAAAGTGAAGCCCTCGGAGAAGGACAATTCTGGATCTTCCAGGCTAACGTTTTCTGGCCCGTCTTCTAGTCTGAGGCATCCTCTCCTGAGTTGCAGTATAGGGCACAGGAACATGGTTCTCGAAGGGTTTTGAGGAACTGGTAGGGTGTCCAGCTCCACTGGAGCCCAGTCCAGCCCCAGGAAAGCCAGAGGACACACTCAGTCAAGGACTGAGGCGAGTTCCCCCTGACTTTTCAATACTCCGCCCTCCCAGCTCTGAGAAGAAGCTGCTGGCTAACCAGGTCCCCTACAGCAAGCAGCTGCCTGAAAAATGGAATCCAAATCTGACACTGAGCTGAGGGTCTGAGGACGCCTTAGTCTCGTTGTAACTTTATCAGTTGTCACTTCTCCATCTAGCAGCCACCAGCTACTGTCTTCGATTAGATACCAAGGACCCAGGAATAAACTCTCCACTCTAAACCCTTCCCTCTGGGCACAGAATACCCGGCTCATTCATTTAAAATACATTTTAATGTATTAAATACCATTTTATGTTGGGGTCAGTACATAGAGATTTTAAAGCTTTTCTAGGTTATTGTTACATTTAATTTTAAGATAGTTCACATTAAGAGATATAAACTCTGCACAAGAACATTCTGACCTCTACAAACTATGTCTCAAAAAAAGTGTGGGAAAAACTATTTGATATGATTTTTTTCCAACAAAACAAAAAGACTTACCTGAAGAGCTGGCAAAGTTTTGCTGAGTACATTAAAAAAAAAAAAAAAATCAAAGTCCTTAATTTATAGATTGTCCCCAGGAATCACTACATTTTTCAAATCTGTTGTTAGACAGGCTTTTCTTTTTTTAAAAATTTTTCTCATCTGGGGTTAAGACATTAACTTATTCCATATGTGCCACAGACTGCAAATAGAGACACAACGTTGGAAAATGTAATGCCAAATGTTTCCCTTAAAGTTCAATGCAAATGATATCCTTCTCACCTTTCTACACATTCCTTGACAACAGCAAAATTTCCATCTCCTATTGTCCTTCCAACTTTATATCGCTCTGTTATCGTGGCTGGAATCTGGAAGCCTTCCTCCGACACTTCTGAAAGAATCATTAGTATGTTTTTATTGGTAGAAAAGAGAACACAGATGTTGCACAAAGGAGACATTTAGAAGTATCATCTAATAGACTGGAACTGATTCAGAATCAATATGTCATTTTCTGTACGGCGAGGTAACGGCCCCCCTCTCTTGCTGACGTTGTATATACTCCACAGTTTTTACTAAAACAAATGATAAACTAAAAGGAAACGTATGAGATCCACCCCCACCTGTATTCACGCGACTCATCTTTTATGCTGCAATGGGGATTCTGAAGAGGAAGTTTTGCTTCTTTTACTTCATGCCAATTTGATCAAGAGCATTTATACTGAATACCCACTGTGTACGGAGAAATGATATTCCTACGTATGGTGCAGGAGGCAGAAGCAGTTCATAAGGGATTCTGGGCTGCTTGACATTGTATAAGCATGAAAAATGCCTGCTGTTTGGACACTTAGCTTTACTACATCCTGAAATGGAGATCTCCGTAAAATTCCTTATGAACTAAGCACTGATGCCACCCCTCCTCCCCAGTATCAATGAGCAGATTTCAGACAAATGTTCCCACCAGCAACCTGCGTAGCAGATGTTGAGTTAAAATTACAATATCTATTATGTCTGTGAACAGAACAGTTTTGTAGTTTCAATTATGTTAGTGCCACTAACATAACGCATTTTCCCTCTGAAAATGCATTTTGAAATATTTTACAAATGCCTAATAATGCTTTAAATATCTAAGGCCATAAAACTAAATAAGCCATGCTTAGGTCACATAAATATGCTGGATAACCTTTAACATCTTAGGGAGTGTAAAAAGGCTTTTATAGCTGGGCTCTAAAATTTACATGCTTTAAAGTTATAAATCCTAGTTCTCCCTCAGGCAACCCAAATACAAAATGTGATGGAAGCCCAGTGTGTTTTCTAAATGTGCTCCTCTTCTGACCTTTCACCATAAACCAAGACTAAACATTTTTCCTCAAAATAAAATTAAAGCCTGAGGTGGTGAACGGGCTTTCTCGGTGATTTTTGTATTCACATTTAGTCTGTATTGCTGGGCAATGACAAATGGAAACTCACTGTCATTGGACATCTGCTTTGGGACCTTTATTCCGGGTGTCTGCACCACTCTGGATTCTAGAGCGGTTGGAATTTCTGGAAAGTGTCGTACAAATGTAGGACCTTTGTTTCCTCTACTTTTGCCCCTGGCATTTGTGCAGCCTTTTTGCTTCTTCATAGGTGACATTTTACTCTTATGCTACTAGAAGCTACCTAGATGGTCTCCAGAATAAAGTGAGGGCCGGAGCCAATGCCCCCACACCCTAACTCACCCCCAAAGAAGCCACAATTTGGCCTGTTTGAAGGACTCGCCCAGTGATTTTTGTCAACTGCAAAGCACCTGAATTTACAACATCTTTTCCAGATGAAACCATCTTAAGGCTCTTTGCCACATGAGTAAATTAAAGTAACCATCCTTGGCTGTGGGGATGAGTCTGACCCTGCATATGGAATATGGAAGAAGATACTTCCACGCTCCCATTCCAGGGCAGCATGCTTTGGGGCACCCATGCAAACCACATGGCTTGGGATTTTTTTTTTCCCCTGACTATTGATAAAAGGTACCTTTCAGGATTTTGGCTAAGAAGGCTTAGCCAAAGGGTTAGTCAAGGCCCATTTCATTTCTTTAGCTGAATACAACATGTTGGAACAAAAGAGATTTTTAGGTAGCTGAATTTCATACTTCTGGAAATACAAGAGTCTGACATTGCATAGTAGTCAGGAAATAATTCTTAAGTAAGTCACATATCTCACTTAATAAAAGTCCTTCCCCTAACGTGGATTTTTTTGGGAAAAAAATTAAATCATATCATTTAAAACAAACAAGAGAAGCTGATTCTTTAATGGTGACTTGCTCACATCACTTTTATACTTTACCAAGTACTATCTCATAATTGATTTGAGCCTGATAACAGCCCCCAGGGAGGAAATAGGTATGTATTACAAATTCCGCTTTAGAGAAGAGGAACTAAGATGCAGGGAGTTGAAGAGCCTTGTTCAAAACAATCCAGTGAGTTGGTGAAAAAGTCAATTCTGGAACCCAGGTCATTTGACCACACACAGAGAAATTCTAAAGTGAACTAGCTTAAGAGACAAAGACTATTGTTGCGATTGCCACCAATATTTCTTTTTCAAAAGCCCAGTTTCAGACATTGAATTTACTGAAGTTAAGAGTACATCTGCGAGGCTGTAACAGTCAAGGCAGTAAATCGTCTTTAATATCCTATAGGTGAACAAAGTTTGGGAAAACACAACCAGCAATCACCCCCTCCTATTTCCAAAGCAGGCGATATCTGGCCTCCTTAGGATACATGTACCCTCAGAGGATGTGAAACGTCTCCAGATCAGGCCAATTCCCTCTTTCCCTTCCATTAGAATAGACACCAATCCCCAGTGGGAGCCATTTGGTCCTATCCCCTGCAATTGACCCTCATGAGCAGCTCACACTTGTTTATTTCATTCTGCTTCAGAAGTTACAGTTTCTTGGAGTAACTTTAGCCAACCCATCCTCCGCCCCTTATACAAGCTGGACCTTCTCAAATACCAAGTCCCAAGCTCATCACCTTCGCCAGGGCCATCATTTTCATCCATGGAGCTGCAGACTTTGGTGGACGCAAGGGAAGTGGAGGAGCCACCATGCTGAGAGCTCTGTAAAGGAACAGAGAGAGAGAAATAAAAAACTCGGTCGGAGTGTCCAGGTCTCCATGTGTACACCCAGCCCAGAGTCTCAGGAGATACCCTTTACCCACCACCAGGGAGGATTTGTCCACCTGGAAAAGGAGGTCCTTAGCATATTTAAGTAGGGCCCCACCTCTCTCCCGGTCAACCAACAGTATTGTGTTCACTGGATCAGGCTAATCTTAACTCGGATGTTCCATGACTCCTTATTCTTTTCCTCATGTTAGCATCCACTGGCTCACTAGGTTTGGCAGATTTTAGGCATCTCACCTCACTCTTCCACAGTCTATCAGTGGACAGGCCTCAAATATGGCACCATTCTGATCTCATCCACTATTTTTTCTATTCTTATGATAGAAAAAAAATTTCTTTTCAGTTTGTTTTTATAAAATATCCTAAAGAAACAAAATACTTGGCCTTACCATAACTTTAGGAGAAAGGCTAAAGAGTGGGTTTGTTAATTCCACTTTGGGATAAAGACACAAGCACTAAACAGGCTACCGGCTTGTTAAATGTTATCTAATATGTCTGAGGTAAAGACAAAAATAAAAGCCAAGGTCTCGTGATTCCTTTGTATTTTTGGTGGGTTTTGACCCAAGACCCATGAGAGCAAATAGGGTAACCACTGTAGCAGAAGGCTCAGAGGACAAAACAATATCAAATATTTAATATTATGATTGGTTGTGAGGCAGAACTTTAACAATGAATGCTTCCATCTCTGCATCTATTTCTTGAGAAAAACAATTTGCACATTTCAATGCTATTTCTGAATAGGGAACACAGCTTGTCCTAAAACATCTTCCTTCTGTTTCCCTGGTTTTATCCACTTGGCCGGCCTGATGGGAGCAGGAGGCGGTGAGGGGGCGGCATTGGCTCTGGTGCCAGCTGTCTGTGGAGCAGAGAGAAGGGAAAGAGCATCTGTAGTTGAATGAATAATGAAGAGTTGGCGAGAAGCAAAGCTGACCTAGTTTTCCTCTGCTTACCTGTTTCCCTTCAACCTCCTCCCCGTTCCATCCAGCCTTAACTGTGCACAAAGTAGGAGGAGGAGAGATTTTACACAATTTCATTATGCCCAACAGTATCCTGCATAGGAAATTCAAAGATTGTAGTTTTCATAAAAAAGATTAGTATAGTTGGGGAAATGCTACCTAAATTACTGTGCAGGGCCATTTGAGTCAAAAGCCATAGAACATTTTTCCTGGGTGTGACTACAGTGAGCATGTCCACTGGACATGTTCATCAAAGCTGACAGTTAATAGTAATGACACATCTTCCCTACAGGACATTCTAGAAGTTTTGTGATTTGTACACCCTTGAATGCCACCCAGTTTGTATGATGTGCCCATTTTGTTCCAATATCATAAAAAAAATCCCCCATCAATAAGCCTGGTGACTAGAGCTCTTTTTCCATCTCTCTCCTCCAGCCTCCCTTGGTGACAGCACAAATTTGTCATATGTCAGGCTAGAAAGAGATTCAGGTGGTAACTGAAACATAATTTTTCTTAATGTGACACTATGTATTCATAACCTACTCTGTCGAAGGGACTGTAAACATATGAACTTCTAAGCCATGCTCTGCTGACTTCAATGGATGTCTGTCTCTAAGAATCTTGTATTTATAATATGGAATTTGGGGCTGCGATGAGGCAGATTTATAACGTCAGTGACTGGAGAAAGTGAACATTGACATGACCACATTTGAGGGAAAGGTATGTGTTATCCAGAACAGTGAGATCCTTTATCCCCTATGTCATTGCTTTGGCTGAAGACACAATGGTGTCCCGAGCAGAAAAGCACTAAGTGAATGTCTCAGATGCAGATCTTCTCTTCTGGGCTTCCTGATCCTTGAATTTTTTCCAGCAGCAGCACAAATGGTGTTTAATAATGTAGACACAATGTGGGTTGGGGTGGCAGGTGCTGTCTTGTCATGTGGTGTTTTAAATTTTAGAATACAAAGACACGTTCTTTCATCAAGCACCCAAATTAATAGATCAGTAGCATGTTTCCTAGCAATGATGTCCACAATTTATATACTCAATTCCAAAAGCTTGTTCTTTTAATAAGAACATCAGGTACTTGATACAGAACTCTGAGCCAAAATATATGAAAACATCTTTTAAACTGTAACAGTCTGTAAACTTGCTGGATATAATTCACTACACAGCCTTATGAACTAATGAATTGCATTTTCAACAGTGCCCTCAAATGCCCAATACCCTGAATGCTTGCCACATTGCCAGCTGTGTTTTCTCTGCCTCATGACCAAAAATCCTGCAAAGCTTTTAGGGTCTGGCTTAAAAAAAAAAAAAAAAAAAAAAAAAAAAAAAAAAAAAAAAAAAAAAAAAAAAAAAAAAGTAGGGTTAACACAACTTTGCTTATGTTTACAATTGTTTATTTTCAACTTTCGGTTTGTGTTTTTGAAAATGTACGCCACTCATCTCAAAGTTTCTGCTGTCTGAGAGCAAAAGATGACTGTTTTAAGAGAAAAACTTACTTGCTTACAGAGTACTCTGAAAATTGAAAGTTCTTATTTTATTTATTAAGCTCAAATAGAGTGAAATAAATGTCTTAATCTTCAAATGGTGTTATCTCTTCTTTTTCCCAAAGACGATAGTTAACACTACATACTTTTCCGAGACAATGACCATGCATGAATTCAAAGAATTTCAGGGACTGGAATATACCTAAATTTCATCTATTCTACCCCACTTTCATCTAAAGACCAAATTCCCCACCACAGAGATACCAGGTAGGTGGCCAGATGGCCTCTGTTCAAACTCCTACAAAACTGAACAAATGACTTCTTGAGGCAGCCCCTAATTGTCAGTATGAGCCCATGTGGAGGAAGTTATCTGTTCCATCAACATTACGTCCCACTTCATTTTCCATTTATTGGTCCTATCTCTCATCTCTAGAATCACCCGGTACAGGTCTAATCTATTTTTCACCTGACAGTGCTTCAGATATTTGGAAATAGCTACTGGGCTCCTTCTGTGTCTTCTCTTTTTCAATTGAAGACTCCCAGTTTTTTTGGTTGTTTGTCCTGTGACAAGGCACCATGACTCCTTCACCCTCCTGTGGACAAACTCCGGCTGTCAATACCTCTATTTAAAGCTGGTGCTCAAAACTCAATGCAGTATTCTAGGTGTGCTCTGGCCAGCACAGAGCAGGTAGAACAGAGTTTTCTTTCTCGTGACTAGAATATTAATTTACTTCAAGATCACATTGGCTTATCAGATGGCACCAGGTGCCTTAACTTGAATGCTGAGCTCGCAGGTGTACCATGTCTACCTATTCTGTTTTGGGGAGGTTGGTGTTTTGGACCCAGTGCAGCAGTTCACATCTATCCGTGCTAAATGCCATCTTTATTACGTTCATAACCTTCCAGCCTGTTACTTTTCGGATTCGGATTTTGACACCTCACATTGTTACTCTCTCTCCCAGTTGAAGTCATTTCAGTAATCACCATGGTTCTTTGAGTATGGTTGTTCTGAACCCACCTAAACATACTAACTTAGAGGCTGCTGGAACATTTTGATTTTTATCCATAAGTCTGATTTCAGAATTCAAAAAATAGTAAAGGGAAAATGTCTAAGTTCTTGTTCTCTAGAATTAACATAATGAGATTAACCAGCCTTTATTTATAACCAACAGAAGCCAAAAAGCCCACCTATGTTTTTGATTGCTTATAAATAAAATCAACTTACCTATTTGGTTTTTCTGAGTAGATAAACCATTTTATAGTCTACATGCCAATAAGATTTTATGTTTGTTTCAGTTAGTTTGCTAATTCCAAGCCATCTGGGTGTATAGTCCAAAACATACAGTTGTTTTAGAATTTAATGCAATTAGCTGCTCTGAGAGATGTTGTGACATTTGAAATGTCATCACCTCCAAGTAGGTTTAATGTGAACCATTTGGGTAGGTTGCTGGCACCTGGATGCTTTTATGGCACACCTTCATAAAAGCACTGCCCTAAGTAAGAACACGTCTTAAGTGTAGCTATTTAGCTTGGGATCATGTAACAGATGGAGAACATATCACACTTCTTGAAGTCAGTGAGAAAGCTGACATAACAGCTCTAACCACATTTTACCAAGATGTACCTGATGACTACATAGTAAAAAACAGTTCATTTTAAATGTTATGAGTTACTCCTGCCATTTGTGTTAATGGTGTCACTCAGCTGTGGCCCACATTGTATAAAGAATTTGAAAATATCCAATTGATACAAGACTTCATGAAGGAAGAAAAATCTCACCAGTCAACTTGAGATTTTGCTGGATAATTGCAGTATTTCCACTTCACATTTTGTCTTGGCATACAGTTATCACTTTGTTAATATTTATTTGGAAAATGCTTTAAAAAAATTTAGAGATCAAGTAGTCACTGTCACATGATATCTCGATCAACTTTATAAAGGAATTACAACCAATAAATATTTAACAAACTCAAACAGTTGTTTCATGATCTTGACTTTAGGCCTACAGAAGCTCTAAAGATGACCTCACATAACAAAATCAAATAATAATCTTGGTGTAGAGAGCTTAAAACCCATAAAATCCATACATTTATTTACGTCCCAAGTGGATATAGAACAATAAGTTGATGGCATCGATCTACAATTACTAGTAAGGCTCTGTTATTTGCAAAAAGGCACAAAGAGAACTCCTTTGTCCAAATTCCTTTTTCTTCATTCTTCATAGTATGTTCAGCCTCAATAAAGTTTACGGCATAGGCAGTCATGTGCACAACTAAGAATGAATACTAAAAAATGAAAAATGTTATCATAAAGGTTTGGTTAAATTTTTTAAAAGACCAGAGAACTGTTACACATGAAACTGGTTTACTGAGAGGAGGAGAAAA